GTTAAGATGTGAGTTCAGTGAGCGCGACAGGGGAGTCGGTTGCTCACTGCGAAGAAGTTTAACACCAAGGATGGCATTGAGAGCAGTAATTCGATGACAGACGGGAAGCAGGATTAGTTCGCGTTGCATGACTTCTATTCTGGTGGTCATAGGGCAGCCGAGGATGAGTCTCATCGCTCTGTTTTGGATTTTCTCTATGCTTTGTTTCTCGCGCTGGGAGGCAACTTAAGGACAGGAGAGGCATAATCTATGACAGCTCTGACGATGGCAATGTACATGAGACGTAGGACCCTGACAGAGGCTCCTTTGAGGCCGTGAGTGAGGGACTGGAAGGGCCTCGTTCGTTGGCGGCACTGGGAGATGACGTGGGCGGCGACAGCGGAGGTCGTGGCTCTGGTAGTGGCTCGCACAGGTAGACCAAGGTACCTGTAGGTGCGTACTTGATCGATGTCTTGTCCTTGCAGAATCAGTGGTGTCTGACGCCGGAAGCGTGAGATGAACTTCGTTTTAGTGTGTGAGATGACTAGCCCAAGTGTTTGACAGGTCCGGGCGAACGTGGAGAGTATAGGTTGTTCATGTTGCACTGTAGTAATTTGGAGGAGGATATCATCAGCGTAGCTTATGATGTGACCACCAAGTTGGCAATCCTGAATAACACCAGCCCCATCCACTGGCAGCTCGAGTCACTGCTTCGGTCGACTGTCTGCCCAGCTCTAAATTTAAACAGCCGATTCTATCAGATCTCAATATTGTAAGTCACTTGCTCATCATTTTTTTTTTATTGCAACTGGCTACCGGACTGACTATTTCATTTAACCAGCTATGATCAGGATACCGTAATCATTAAGCCTATAGCGCGTTTTTTCACAGCAGAGAAAAGATGCCACGCCCCCTCCTCAAAATTTACAGCTGATTGACTGTTGCAAACCTGTCCGATTTTGTCCTGAAGTAACGATGTATTTCTAAATGAGTTTATTCATAATCATTGGGATGACCATTTCTGACGAGAAAGATATTTAGCTAAATTATATAAAGATACATACATTCATTATTTCAAACATGAGCAAGTAGGAAGTTTATCAGAAGTATTATACATGAATTAACTGTTAAAACACTGTGTTCATGAAGAAATTTCCACGCTTCTCCATTCTTACCGTAATAATCGATGTGAAATCTGACAATGGTTTGAAAGTACCTGTAATTCATATCACAGCCATTGCACAAGGCAGACAACTAGGAACTAAATTCAAATTCAAGTGGGTAGCAGTTGGGCCTAGTAAACCAAGATGTGATTGGTTGATCCAAAATCACACCCACCAATCAACAACCAAAGAACAACTGCACATGCATCAGACTCTAGCACATGCGCAATGCAGTACAGTAATCAATAAACAAACACACAGGAGCTCTTTGACATGTTGGTAACAAACAAAAACTTAGAAAAACTACAACGATTTTCCAACAATTTATTGCCAATTTCTCGGAAAGTAATCAGTTGCAGAAGAAATGCTACAGAATAAATAAGTCTTAGAATTGTCTAACCTCCTTATTCCAAAATATGAAATCCTAAAATTCGCTGCATGATCAAAGCGATAATACAGTAATACCGAAGAAACCTCACGTCCCTTTTAAGCTCACTAAAAAAGAAGGTGATATTAACCTTAATTTTTTCTACTGCGAATGATTTTATGTATTCCACTTCTGTTCCTCCTGATTTTTGCATATAAGCACTTTCGAACAAAAGAAAATCTTCATCAGACGAGCTAGACATCTTGGTACTGTATTATTACTTTTAAATGCCCCATAACTTTTTTTCTAATATACCTATCATGTAGTTTAGGTTAGGTTAGGTATGGCAAAAAAAAAAAAAAAACCCCCAGACATTTTATTGTAAAATAGCTGGATCACAACTCGTAGATAAACCTGCATCCTCTGTGTTCACCTACCAGCGCTGACTGTCGGCACTGGAAACCGGCAAACAGGTAACCTGCTTTCTTTGTGTTCTCACCCTAAGGTAAGAAAACAGGGGGCCCGCTGCAGGTGCAATGTTAGGTTAGGTTTAGTTAGGTTGTTTTCAGAGCCAACTTCAGTTATTTGTATCATATATCACTTGTTTTTCCGGTATTATTTCACTTGTTACCACTGAATGAATCTCGGGAATTTTATAGTTGCAATCAGTAGTTTTGACAATTCTAAGACATTTTTCATCCACGGCAAGTCTGGCGCAAATTACGTATAAGCAAGATATTTAACATTTTATTATGTATGAAAATTTACCTTTCACTTGTTGCCACTAAACAATTCTCACAATATTTATAGTTGCAACCAGTAATTTTGACAATTCTAAGACACCTTTCCTCAATGTCATTTTTTAGTACAAAATTACCTTTAAGCGAGATATTTAACATCATATTACATAAGTTCCTATGGGGTCAGCCCATTTCGTCACCAACCCTTTTCGTCATCACTGTTGTCAAACAATTTCATCACCATTGCTTTGCCCGTTTTGTCACATCGTTCATTCCCATCAATATATACACGAAAATAACTGTTGCTTGGGACAGAAGATATTAAAAAACACTAAGACAATTGGTTTATATATAGGACTAACCCACCAGGGCTGCATAGCGCCAATGCGGCCGTATCATCTCACATCCAGAAAATGCCTCAAATTTTACCATATCATCATAAGCTCTTTCTGTTTAATATACCGGGGAAGTTAGGTAAGGTTAGGTAGGTTTGTTTGGTTAGGTCTCTTCTTCATGCCCACAAATGTTAAGTAGCGTTTATTTAAAAAATATCCAGCTTTTAACATATTTCCACAAACTACAACAGTGTCCACTATAATATAACAATGAAAATCTGACATTTTTATAATTGTTTTCAAGCAATTTCGCTAACAGGTTAGTCCTATATAATTACCAGACAATTTATTAATAATGAAAAAAAAAATTTAATACGCCTGCAATTATCAAACTTAAACAATGTGTGAAAGACTAAAATTTACTCATGCAAGCTTGGCAGAAGGCAATGACAATAATTTTTAGGAAATTAGAAGTGATGATATTTTTTCTTCATATTCATCTCACAGCTTCCAGAGATGAACTCATTTGTCCTAATTTGCTTTTTTTGTGCATGATTTTAGTTTCTACTCAGCAACTAGTCTGTAATCATTTCACTTAAACAATAACCAATATATACAAAAAAATAACTGTTGCTTGGGGTAGAAAATAATAAAAAACCTCAGACTATTTACAGTATTAAAGATGAAAATATTAAATAAAAACAATGTTAATACGCCTGCAATCATCTCACTGCTCGTTGGTTTATGCGCTGGTGGCAAATCACCTTCGTTTGTTCTGCATTTTGTCTATTTACCTATGTTGAATAGTTTTCTTTATTAAACAATTAATATTCATGTACAATAATAACACAATACTTCTCGAGTCATCTGTATACTTGTGTAATTTCTATTCATGTAAGGTAATAACTTACAATTTGTCATTAAACCAGCGACTGTTAGTTGTGACGAAACGGATTTGATATTGGTGATGAAATGAGGCTTTGGTGACGAACCGGGTCGGTGACGAAATGGGATGTATCCGTTCCTACGTACTGATACACACACAGAACATCGAACAACTGAGGGGGCTACCCGGTTAGCATTAGGTTATATTTGGTTTGGTTGGTAAAGTTAGTTTCAAAACTGCTTTTTCGATGGTTTTCAGTGTGTTTTGAACACTTTTTGGTAATTATTCATAAACCACCCATCACCTTTTTACAACATTTATCTTACTATTTAATAGATCACTTCGAGACACTAAAGAATATACTTGAATTTAGCAGGGCACTAAAAAAAAAAATGAGATATTCGCATTATATTTGTTGTAATAACCACAAATTTTTCTAAGTCCCAATTTGATGTTATGGTGACACGTAACGTCGCTCTCGTTCGTTAGGTTAGGTCAGGTCAGGTAAGGTAAGGTAAGGTAAGGTAAGGTTAGGTTAGGTTAGGTTAGGTTAGGTTAGGTTAGGTCAGGTAAGGTTAGGTTAGGTTAGTAAGTAGACCTAGTATAGTTTTAACCTTTTATTCCCCCCCAAAATATATTTTTCCGCTAGTTTTCTTGGTGTTTTAGATGATTCTGACATTTATTTTGGGTGAAAATCACTCGTTTTCAGTCCCCCCCCTACCTAAAACCCCATATTCCCAACGCCGCCCCCTACATTGTTGGGGATGAAGAGGGAGGGAGGGGGGGTGGGAATAACTATAAAAAAAAAGTGATTTGCCCCAAAGATAAATGTCAGAATCATCGAAAACATCAATACTAGCGAAAATTTATTTTTTTTCATGTGAAAAAAGGTGATGGTCGATAAAAGAAAAATTACCCACTTTTTACCTTGATTTTTACGGTATAACAAATATCTAGTTATGTCAGATTCTGTGATAGGGGGGGGGGGCTAACTATTGACTTGCCCCAGAAATAAAGATCAAATTCGTTCATAACTTCAAAAATCATCGGAAAAACAGTTTCAACTTGGATTTCGTAGTGACAAGTGGAAAAAAAATTACTTTTTTTTCCTTTCCATTAAAAAAATTAACAAATCCCACCAGTTTCCCCATAATGGCTCATACCCGATACAATTCGTGGTCAAAATCGTTCAAACAGAGGGCAAAACATTCTTTCAACCTTATAAATAGCTGAGCGTTCACTTGCAAAAATTTATCCAAAATTAAACAATTTTATAAACTCCTCCTGGTGACAACCGTTTCTTCCACTTTTATCGGACCTTAAATACGTCAGTGGCCTCCTTTCCTCAACATCGCCGTTTCTAGTGTGTGGCCATTAAGTAAATGAGGTTAACAAGATACTTCCACATTAAGTACTAGTTCGCCAGTTAGCATAATTCTCTGGGTTTAAAATGACTCAACTAACAATAGTCGTCACAGAATAATTGCCCCCAACATCAGACAAAACAGATATAATTTAATTCCGACTCACGTTTAGAGACAAAGTGTATTATGGTAATTTTCTCTGTTTGAACTTGTTGTGTCTTGGCTCCACACCTCACTTCTTCCCAGGGTTGCCAACTCGGGTTTTCAAATGTCGCTAGGCTGGTACCTGAAAGTAGCTAAATGTCGCTAAATCTTCCATAGAAAGTCGCTAGCTATTATTCTCCCCCTTCAGTAATTTGATGCAAATAATATTTTCATAATGCTGACTATAATGGACGGAGTATAAATAAAATGCATTCTGTAAAAATAAAAATATTATTTTGTTTCAAGTTTAATGTGCACACTTACCTATTATTCAATAGTAATTGCATCCCAGTCCTCTTGGTAGTGTGAACAACTGTAGAGCTGGAAGCATGTGAAGTGCTTGGTTCAGGTTCTCTTGTAACTGTATGCCTCCACAGTCCCTATCTTTCTTAAAATATCACTAGGAAGTTCATAACTTGCACAACAGGTGTTCTGTCTTTTTAACCCATACTTTATTGTAAGAATTGCCTTTAATGTCGATAGTTTCATTTTGTTGCGCAATTTTGATTTCACAAAGTTCATACTACTAAATGTGCGCTCTACATCTGCGTTTGAATGCGGAAGAGATAAGGCAGCGAGTGCAATTTCAGCCAGATCATGGTAAGGGTTTTCACCTGTCGCATCTCTGTAATTTACCACTTCTGACCACAATTTTAGGGTGTTAGATGCATGGACGGGCTGACATCAAGTGATCAGGAAATAGACGTGTCCCTCCTTCTGTACCACGACCCATTCAAATGTATTACACTTTTCTTATTATTTATTGTCCCTGTAACCCCGTTGCTATATATTATGGCTCGAAATTAAGAAAACTGAGTTTTCATGGACAGTCCAAAAGTATCCAGAAAGTCGCTAGATTTCTGTGGATATCTCTAGATTTGCGACAAGTCTGTAGTGGACGTAACCCTACAAGTCGCAAATCGCTCTAAAATGTCGCTAGAAAAAAACAAAAAGCTCTAGATCTAGCTACAAAGCCGCTAAGTTGGCAACTCTGCTTCTTTCCACCAATCATAGCAGTCTCACTTTAACAGGTGAGTGGCGGAAGGCGCATTGCACTCCGCACAAGAACTCAAGTTTGCATTTTGATTAATTACATTGTTTCATACTTTGTTCTTTCAATTTATTGTTATTCTTCCTTAATTATTTAAAAAGGTTGTCATTCATATTATGGCACTCTTTGGTCAAATAGCCTTACTATTTACCATTGCTGTATGTCTCCCTGTACCTGTACCGTGCAGTCCATTCTTTTCTTCTTTTATCCTCTTCACCACTGATCGGCTCGTAAGCCGCTTGGGCGATCGGTCACGATGAATATCAATGAATAAATTATATACATGCGTATCCATGCAAATAGTCCGTAACAGAGACTGTAGTTTAACAAATTTATTGACAAAACTTGGAGTACAGTTTGCCTATTGTGAGTACAGTATGTGGCCAGTTGTCAATTCTCTTTACTTTTACTTTTCTTTTTTACTTTTATCCTCTTCGCCACTGATCGGCTTGTTAGCCGCTTGGGCGATCGGTCACGTCTCTTTTCCTTTATATTCTTCACCAAAAGGTCGGCTCGCTAGCCGCCCGGGCGATCGGTCACGTCTCTGTCACGCACTGTTGGCAAATACTGGGCATGCACCGGCTCCTGAATGTACCTGAACCCGCTCCAGTGTTGGTCAAGCCTTCTTGAAAGAGCTCACACTGGTGCCGTCACAACACTCTCTGGTAGATTGTTCCAAGAGTTTACAACCTCACTCCGAAAAAAGTTTGCCCTCACGGTTTTCCGGACTTGCGGCTTCTTCAATCTTGAGCTGTGACCCCTTGTGGGGCGAGCGTCCGCCAGCTCCAAGTAAGGACACTCAACTGAGTAGTGCCCCCTGAGATGCTTATAAACCTCAACTAGGTCCCCCCTTGCCCGTCTGTAGTATAAGCTAGGCAAGTTCAGGCGCTCCAATCTCTCAGGGTAGCTGAGATGCCGAAGTGCAGGCACCCGTTTGGTGGCCCTCCTTTGAACATTTTCAACCAACTGACAGTCCCTAGCATATCTCGGGGACCAGATGGGGTGACAGTACTCCAGATGGGGAAGCACTTCACTCCTGAAGATCGTCACGAGGGACGGACCGTCTAGATATCTGAACGACCTTCTTATAAGACCCAATAATTTATTTGCCTGATTTACCTTCTTCTCACAATGGCCGAGAACTTCAGCTCATTGTCAACATACACACCTAGGTCCTTCTCACACACAGTCTCAACTAGTACATTTTCTTCATCCCGTTGGGACATATGGTACGCCTCCTTACCGTTGGTACGCCCCAGGTGCATCCTCTTACACTTCGTGACATTGAATCTCAGCAGCCATTCCTTCGACCATTCCTGGAGCCCACAGAGGTCCTTCTGCAGCTCTTCACAGTCCGCTTGGTTCTTAATTTCCCGAAATAACTTGGCGTCATCGGCAAACATTTGTATGGAGGAGTGTACAACGTCAGGCATATCATTTATGAAACAAACAAACAACAGCGGGCCCAATACACTACCCTGCGGTACCCCACTTGTTACAGGTACAGATGACGATTTCGTGCCATTAATCACCACACATTGCTTGCGGTCATGTAGAAAGTCTTCTATCCACGCTAGGACATTTCCCCGAATTCCGTACCCTTCCAGTTTGATTTTCAGCCTTTCGTGGGGTACACTGTCGAAAGCCTTGGCAAAATCTAGGTAAATATTGTCGATATTACCACCCCGTTCTAGAATATGGGTCCAAATATCCAATACCTTGAGCAATTGTGTCAAGCAAGAGCGCCCCGGCATAAAACCGTGTTGGCAATCTTTTACAAGGTTGTTTCGTAGTAGATGTTCCATCGCTGCATCTCTGATAATACTCTCAAGTACTTTACATATTATGCTGGTCAGGCTCACCGGTCTATAGTTGTTCGTGGAGTGCCTATCGCCCTTCTTGAAGATAGGACTCACATAAGCCACTTTCCATTCACTGGGGACCATTTGTTCATCCAGGCATTTACAAAACAGAATCTTCAGGGGCTCTGCAAGCTCGTTGCACAGCTCCCTTAGCACTCTAGGATGCACCATGTCAGGTCCAGGACTCTTATGGACCTTTAGCCTGGACAGTTTATTTCTAATACCCTCTTCTGTGAACACAATGTGGGTCAGTGCTGTGTCGAACCGTCTGTCCTCAAACGCAGGAAGGTTAGTTGCATCCTCTCTTGTGAACACTGAGGAAAAGAAGCTGTTCAATGCCTCAGCTTTATCCTGGTCAGAATCTGCGTAACTACTATCTTCAAGCCTCAGGTCTGATACTCCTACTCGCGTTTTCAATTTCGACTTTGCATAGCGGTAAAACGCCTTTGGGTTTGACTTGACCTCGCGTGCAACCAGCCTTTGGAACTCCTTTTCAGCCCTCCTACACTCTATCTTTGCTTGGTTTCTGGCTCTTGCATACATCCTCCTGTCTTGCTCATCGTTTGACCCAACCCACGTCTTGAATTTCTGGGTTTTCTTCTTAATTTTGTCGACCGCCGCATGGTTCATGTGTAGGGATCCCCTCGTATTCCTAGAAGCACTGGGTTTGGTCTTGGGTATATATTTATCGATCAAATGGGTCATTTTACTAGTTATGATATTCAGCGTAGTGTCTGCGTTCTTGTACCTTAATAAGTCAGGCCAGTTGATACCCCTCATCTCTTCCCTCATCCCATTGTAATTTCCCTTGTAATATTTGCACCTTGGCCTGGCCTTATCTTGAACTAGGTAACAGTTTAGTTGTCTATTGTCTCTTTGTATGGGCACACAAACGTACGTACATGTAGATATCTTCACTCAGGAATGAGGTAGAACAGAAACTCACAATGCGTTTTCTGTATGTGTGTGTGTATATATATATATATATATATATATATATATATATATATTGTTGTACAGTGCAGTGCTAAGGAGTTACTAGGCGAGGAGTAGCTTGCTCAGAGGTCCTGTAGGGCGAGGAGCTTTCTGAGGGAGCTGGGTGATGAGGCCCTGGAGAGAGATCTTGCTGGTCCAGTAGGTCAGAGTAGAATGGTCTCCCTGGCTGTTGTTGTTGTTGTTGAGATTGTCGGACCGTAGTCCGACACGGGCCTTTGCCTACAGGCGGCCTGCCAGCGGTGGCAGGCCGCCTGTAGGCAAAGGCCAGCCATGGCCGTATTTATACAATTTAGAAACATCAGGATTTGGGGTGCGCGTAGCGTGAGTGCCAATCACAGAGGAGGAGGCCAGGAATCCCTGGCACTCTGGTCCTAGCGTTGCTAAGTGTGCGTCCGCACTGGAGAGTAGGTCTACCAGCATCCCTGGCTGTACGCTGATTGGCTGGTAAGCGCGCGGGAGTTCAGTTGTCACTTGTAGGGGATAGGGTCCTCTACAATACTCCCCTTCCCCTCCGGGCGCGGCGGGAGGCTGGAGGTTGGCAGGGTTGCGTCCCACAAGTGATACATACCGGGCAGGTGTACATACGACTCGGCCGCTGCGGGTGACGACTCCGTCTAGTGACACAAAACCTGTGGGAGAATCAGGGGGAGAAGGAGGGTTTTGGATTAGAGGAGGTTGTACAGGCAATGGTTGTTGTGCTCCTGTCGCGGCAGGGGCAGTGTCACTGGCTGGGTAGATTGGGTCAGGGGCAGGGGTCATGACAGCAACAGGGTCCACGACAATAGCAGGGTACAGGACAGGAGCAGGGGGTACCTGAGGGTGGAAAGCGGGTGCCCAGAAATGTTGTGGGCGGGGTCTGGCTGGGTTGACTGGGTCAGGAGCAGGGGCCACGTCAGGAGGAGGGTCCATTACAGCAACAGGGTCCACGACGGCAGCGGGGTCCACGTCAGGAGCAGTAGGTACCTGAGGGTGGAAAGAGGGTGCTCAGAATGTTGTGGGCTCGGTCTGGCTGGGTCAGGGGCAGGGGCCACGTCAGGAGGATTGTCCATGACAGCAACAGGGTCCACGACGGCAGCAGGGTCCACGTCAGGAGGAGGGTCCATGACAGCAACAGGGCCCGCGTCAGGAGGAGAGT